ATTGACGATTTACCCTTGGAATTCCCCATCACTTGTAGAAGGTTTGTTCCATATTTCAGTAGTGCAGTAACATTTGACGGGAGTTGAGGCCCCGAATCCTGAAAAAATAAAGACAGACAATAAACAAATACACATGCACATAACAAGTTCCGAAAGAGAGAAAAAAAACTCCAATTAAAAAACTCAAACAGCACAAACCATTGTAGTATTAATTCTCTTCTCGAGCCCCTTTCCATTTAACAGGAAGCTGCAATTTTCATACGAAAGCTAGGAAGGTTAAACCTGACTTACTTCGTGTCAGTGAGGAAAAATTAGCAAATTACTTCTTCATACCTGACTTCCGGAGGATTAATAATACAAGCAGATGTGTCTATGTTGTCTGTCTGTACAACAAATAACCGCTGAAGAGCAAATAAGAATCTGGAGTAAGTGAAATCATACGCTAACCAAAAGGCACAAAGACTGGGTATATCAATAAGATGAAACGAATATTCAAAATGTATATAGGTAAATTCTCCTTTATAAAGTGAAAACAACACATGCACATGGCCACCTAATTGCACAACAGATAGAGATAGAATTCAATATGGGCAGACCCGGAATGAGGTATCGAATGACTAACAGACAAACCATACGTACAATTTTCTCTTGGGGAGCATGTGGCATCTTCTTTGAGATATGGAAATCATGCGCCAGCATTTTATAGCCAGCCTGCCATGTAAGGAAAGCCAAAACAAAAAGAACATGATCTTAGAGGGTTACACAACAGAAATAGATGTTCTGACCAGAAGACAAGCTCACCTTCACTTCAAGAGAAACAAGAACATGCCCAACCTTCACAAATGGATAGAACCTGGGATCACAAAAACAAAATTTCAACCAATGCTTAAATTTGTTTCCAATGAAGGCCATTCTATTCAATAAGTTTTTGGCACAGCTTAGCTAGCTTGTGATAAATATTTACGGTCCAAATAAATTGCAAGAAGTAAAATCAATCTGACAGTGAAAGCAAAAACCTACCTCTCTATGATCTGCGAAAAAGTACCTCTGGGGCATTTAATACCAGGGCTAGTGTTTCCAAAACTCCCAAAACTATTCCTCATCTGAATAAGAAGGAAAACATTAGTATCCTAATAATCCAAATAATCCGCTATCAGATTCACTAATCCAAAAATTTGGAAGAAGCCAGACCTCATCAGCAATAGCAATAAGTTCTTCACACTCGCTGTCTGAAAACCATCCCAGTTGACAAGCATGCTGTGCCATTAACACAAAATCCAGCAGGAAATGTCAAAACCAAATGAGTTACCACTTACGATGACCTCAATCATTATAAACCACATGGAATCAAAAACAAAAGCAGCATTTACCATAAAGTAGGGACACCTAATTGATAAAAACGTACTTAACAGAAGCATTCTGCAGATTACCAATCCAAAACTATGATATTCCATAAACTCTTTTCTGCTGTTACCTTAACTGAGATCATCAGCACTGTAACCGCCGTCGTAGTGTACACATCAGTCCTATGCTTGCACACCTGACATAACAACACAAGCTACTTATCAGTACACACTAACAATGGCCTCCACTAATCCAGTCAAATCCAAAATTTCTCAGAACAGAATCAGCCTTCAACTACACAATACAGCCACATTCAGTAACTAACCTGTTTGAGTAGCAAGGGAAACTCTTCAACCTTCTTTGGTATTTCATTATTCGCTATAGCAAAATCAATGCCTCTGCACACAATGAAGCAAATCCAACAACAACAAAATTGATTACATAATCAAAACCCAGAGATTACGAAACCAAAAGACTACTCAGATTTAGGTATATGAAAATGCGATTAGTGTTGAGAGAAATTACTTAGCGAGAGAGATGCAACAGATCTGAAACTCCTTAACATCACTTCTTTGTCCAGCTTGAATGTGGTAACGTAACCGTTGCGTCACCGACGCTAATCGGAAGGAATTGACAAGTGCTGCTGCTGCTTTCTCCGGTAAGCCAGTTCCAGCTACCGGAAGCGCCGCCGTAGAAGACATCGAGTGGAACTTCTCCGGTCGAATCACAGAGATTTTTCGATTTTTAAAACTGAGGAAACGATTTAGTGTCGATTGAAGGCGAATTGTGTTGGTCAATCGAAAACCCTAAAAATTCTCCGTCACCTTCTGTTCCCCGTAACGGACTTCACTGTTCTCACTTCTGCGTATAATTTAATGTAAATTTTTTATGGTTTTGTTTTCTTATTACGGATTTTATGCTTTTTTTTTTCTTTTTCTTTTCGGCGGGTTATTGTTGTTTTGGTTGATTTGGTTAATAAACGAAAAAAAAATTAAAAGAGAAATTACAAAATACTATTTTTTATAGGGGTAGTTGCACAAATAACTCACAATTTGTGGTCAATGTCAAACCTATACCTCTATATCCTTTCTCTCTTATTTTGCCATTTTTTCCCTTCTTTATCCTTCTCCTCACCACTTATTCACGAAAATGCAATTATATTCTAATTTTTTTTTTTTTTAATTTTGGAAATATTGGAAAATACACAAAAAACCAAAAGATCTCAAGATATTTACGAAAATGCCATCTTGTTTAATTTTGCCAACCACCATGAACAACCGATTTTGAGCTCTAAATGCATCCCAACCGTTTTTTTT